TTGTTAAGTGGTCTAGATCCCACACACCTGCTAATAGATACAACATTATGACCACAAACATTGCAGAGTCTCTGAATTCTATGTTAAACGCTCCAAGGGAATTGCCTGTTATTTACTTATTTGAGACTATAATGCTTACCCTTACCACCTGGTTTCACGAGCGGAGAATAAAAGCTGATAAGCTTGACAAGTATGCAACACAGAATGTAACAGACAAAATTTCCGAACTCTACGATGAAGCAATGGTCTTGGATGTCTACCAAGTGGATGAGAACGAGTTTGAGGTAAAGGATGACTCTCACAAGTATGTTTTCCATTTGAAGAAAAAGCATTGCAGTTGCAACATCTTCAACATAGACAGGATCCCCCGCGTGCATGCTGTAGCTGCTGCTAAACACACAAGAAAAGATGTATACAAGCTTGTGGATGATTTCTACTCAAAAGGAAACATGGTCTAAAGCTTATACTGAGAGCATACATCCTTGTGGTGATCTATCTACGTGTTCCTTCCCTGATGGTGTGTATGATTACCTTTGTTGTCCACCAAACACGAAATTAAGCAGTGGAAGGCCACCTAAGAAGAGGAAGATAGCTGCATGAGAATTTGGGGTCCCTAACACTAAATCTCAAGGACACAAGTGTAGCAGATGTGGCACAGGAGGACACAACAAGAGCACATGCAGGAATTATATATGATTCTCGCTGTGGAATGTCCAAGAGATGCGTAAGCTTTCTTATACATTCTAACTATAGATTGATTATACATTCGTTTGTTCAACATTTTTTTGGATTCTTTCCAGTTATTTTTGGAAGAACTTCAATAGCTATTTTATGTTTGTTGGGATGATGTTCGTAACTTTTATTTTTGGAAGCTTTCCAGACTGTTTCATTGGTTTCTCAACCATGTTCCTAGCTTTTCTAATTTTAACAACGTAATATAGAACTTAGGAAGGCTTCCTCAATTATTTCTCTTTCCCAAGTTTTATCTACAAAAGCTTCCTAAATCATTTAGGAAGGCTTCCTAAATCATTCTATTTTACTAGGTATAAGTTAGGAAGGCTTCCTAAATCATTTCTTTTCGCTGGTTATAAGTTATGAATGCTTCCTAAATCATTCTCTTTTTGATGTGTTGTAAGTTAGGAAGGCTTCCTAAGTCATTCTCTTTTTGCTGGTTATAAGTTAGGAAGGCTTCCTAAGTCATGTTCTCTTTCCCAGGTTTAATTTAGCTTCCTAAAGCATGTTCTCTTTTCCAAGTTAAATTTAGGATGGCTTCCTAAATCATGTTAACATAAACAAACCACGAAAAAAGCTTCTAACTCTATAAATGAAAGAGAACACACCTAATTGCATCGTTAGGTAATTTAATAAGTCGGTGAAACAGTTAATAAGCGTATTGAGATGTGTCGTTTCGTCGTGTCGTTTCGTGGTAAAAGTAAGGGGATCGTGTCGTTACATGGTTAAAATATTTTTCTCCATATTTGGTTTTGTAAATCTCTCTTTACGAAATCGTTCCTAAACTAATGTTACTTCTTCCCAAATTTGTCAAATATCTTCCTAACACTGTGAAAACTCTATTATTATAAATAACTGCATATCCCTTCGTTTTCGAAACGGTTATTTAGAATAACTGCATATCCCTTCATGGGACGTGTCGTTTCATGGTATCATTTCAAACGGTTATTAATTGTAGCGAACGTGTCGTTTCCTGGTAAAAACCCATCCTTATATAAGACATCCTCTGTGTTCAGATTTTGAAGAACCCATCCTCAAATTTTCATTTCTAAAGTGCACAATGTTGCATCACATGTCCATGATAACACCATCTGATCACAATGCGATATCAGATTTGCGTACAGACGAGAGTGATTGGAGCATCTGCGTTAAGATCCTTAGGGTTTGGAAAAAACCAAACTTTCTTGGCGAAACTTTGGAGATGATAATCTCTGACGAGCAGGTTATTCTCTGTTACTTCATTTTTTGGAGATGATAAACTTTCGCCTTTTTTTTTAATCAGTCATGTTTTTTTTCAGAGAATGCACATATCAGCTTCTGTAATGCCAGGAGATATGTTGAAGTTTTCCAATTACTTTCGACAAACCATCTACAATTTCTACGTGGACAATGCTTCTGCTGCCGTGCGCCCTACATTAACTGACTATCATCTAATTTTTCACGGCAACACGGGCACCAAGAGTGCTGATCACATGGTTCAGTTTGACAGTCTGTTGCTTAACAGTCCTAGTTTTAGGGATATCAGCCGCCGAGCGTATAAGATCGGGAGCCTAATTGGTAAGAATTATTTTATGATTTCAGAGTTTTTTTGTTCTGCTCTGTTTTTAGATAAATTTTTCTATGGATCTTAATCAGATGTAATGGGGACTATTGTGAGGATGGATTTTTTTGGAAGATCATAGCAATAATGCTTTTGAAGATGATTTGTCTCACCTATGTTTCGAACTATAGGACGCAAAGTAAATCAAATGCCCTATGTTAATGAATTTTATGAAGTTTTATTATGAATTAATATTATCTGTTCTTTTATGTTAGGAGAGAACGTATGATTACCTGTATAGCTCTTGGAGCCATTGCAAGAGAGATTCACGAAGCGTATAAGTCACACAATTCCTATGGCGATGTTTGCGTGTTATGCTTTTGGAAAATTTCATAGGGTAAAGGTGAGTAATTGTTGCTTTATTGGTTGCACATTTTAAGACGACAGAATCATTTAGGAAGTCTTCCTAAATCATTTTCTCTTTCCAAGTTTCATTTAGGAAGCCTTGAAATATTGCTTTGATTTGTTGTAGGAATGGACGAGAATAAGATTGTCATGCGCTCTCATTCCCTATGCTCCAAATTCATGTTTAATCCAACTGATGATACAGTTTCCGGATTCAAGAACATGTAAAATTTTAAACAATTCTCCCTATATATACTTTCTCGCTGACTGAATATGTAACTAAAAGAATTGTTTCATTGTTTGTCTGGTGCAGAAGAGATTATAGATATTGAAGGAAAGTGGAATACTGAAGTAATGAGGGATGCTTAAGTAACCAAAAACCGTTTTTAATGTATTCCACAAGCAATTTTATATTTTTGCTTTTTGATGTTGAACCACAAGTGTTTATTATGTATTCTATACCAAGACAATATCTATGGATGTTGTACTTTTGACATATAATACAATATCTATTTGTTCATTATTATTTAGCGTACGGCTAAACATTTGGGATGAAGTTTGTCAGTTAAGAAAAAATTCTCACACTTTACATTTTAGGATGTGTTCTTTGTAAGTTAGGAATATGATCCTCACTGTGTAAGAAAGAACATTGTCGAAAATGTTAGCTTGGTTTCTAAATTTTTACAATTGTTTTTGTAACTTGGAAGTGAAAAAGGGTTTATCAATGAGCGCAAGTATAAGATTAAAGAAGATGAAATTGTTAAGAAAATTTCTTACACTTAAGAAAATGTTCATAGTACTTTAGGAGAGAGAACGGACTTATTTGTTTAAATTATTTTGTCAAAATGAAATTGTTTACAACGAACTTGTTTTTATCAAAACACAATAGTTACTCTTTTCTTTCTTTTTCGGAAAACCTTCCTAAAGGACTTTCAAGTTTTCTTTACCTTCCCGGAAGCTTTTTCTAATTGTTTTTATTCATTTGGCATATTGAATCACTGTTACGTTCCTTGATTGAACACTTAATGTCATCTAAAAATATGCAAACAAATTCGTAACAAGCCTAGAGAAACAGTGAAAACAAAATCACGCAAGTAAATCTCAAGAAACATAACACAACTTCAAAAAAATCTCAAACACAATTAATCTGAAACACAATTATGGTTAGCCATCGTAAACCACAATTTCGGGATGTTGCTTCCTTTGCTCAAATGAAAAAAAATCAAATTTAAGTCCTACTTTTTCTGGAAATGATCAAAGATATCTCAAACCAGATTGCTCATCGGATCTTGAACAACTTCATCACAAATTCTTGAAAAGTCATCAATCTTCACAGAGTGGCACTCTATCATCTTGAGTACAAAGATACCACAATTGGATACTGTGCTGAACTTTGCAACAGTTTCCTCAAAATCATATACCACTTCGAATGGAACGAGATCCTGCATTGGCTTTGTGTTTTCCGCAACACAAAGTAGTGCAGGGATCATCTCTACAAAATTATAACAAGTTAAATTCAGAAAAGAATACTTTCCTTAATTCATAAAAGTATTCGAAAACTACGAAAAACCATTATTGGTGAAACACTTTGCCTGCGATATCATTGGCGACCTAAAATACGTGTTGTTGGCTCTTTTGGATGTCTGCAGCTAAAACACTCAACTCACCTCTTCTTCATATCTATCTCTAAACCAATCTAGTGTAGAGAAGTCTTGGGTTTAACCATTCCATAGATGAAATCAACATCCTTCTTCCAGTTTTTGTTTGGATACTTGTTTCCTTTTACAACTTCAATCACATTTTCAGGGAAATGTTTCTTGCACCGAGGTTTCTTGAAAATGTTGTGGAAATCTAACAGCTCACTGAAGAACATTGAGTTACAGAAAACAGCCCTTGGAAATCAATTGTTGTGGAAATAAGCAGCATGCTCCTCTCATTTAGCATTGAACAGCATCATTGCTGCGTCTACCTCCTACATGAATATTCAAAGGCTTCCAAACTTATTTTCGTCTAGGAAGTCTCCCTAAATAAAGTTGATATGACTAGAATAATACCTGTCCGTTAACACGAGTTGATGGATTCTCCAGACTCTTGAACCAAGCTCCATTAGCTTGGATTTCACCAATGATGCGTTTTATATCATACATTGTGAACTCAATCAATTTACACAGAATTTAAATTATAATATAATATCACATTATTATAATACTATATACCAACCTTACTGTCTCGTCATTATCCACCCAATCTTGAAAAGCTGATAGCAGCTCATATCCTGGGGATTGAAACGGATCCAACATAGGATTTGGTTCATGAGTCGTGATTAGAGCTGGGTTTGGCGGCGCTCTGAAGGGACTGTCTGTACTCTTATTTTGTTTGGGTCTCGATTGCTCCTCCTTAGCAACGTTGTCAACCTCTTAGCCAGACGATCACCTTCATCATCAACTCTCTTCTCCTTTGCTTTTCTGTTTGCAACAGTAGGACGAATCCTCAACATATCCACAACCTTCACATGTTTTTGGAGTTCACCAGCAGACTCTTCGTTAGCGCGTGTATCCATAGCAACAACAGATGCTGTAACCTTCTGCAAGGATAATCCCCTCTTCTCTGAAGCAACCTGCCACCACAAAAACATGCAACGTACGATTGATAAAAGTTTCAGAAAGTAAAGGTTAATGGCTTTGTTTTAACAAATTCTAACCTCATCCGTCTGATTTCTCGCCCTACTTGGTGATGGTTGCCATAAAACAATAGCCATAGAATGTGTTCCCTTAACATTCTGCTAAAATACAGAAATAATTTCAGAACCATTAATACCTTACTAACAAACATTTCAGAAGATTAAAACAAAATAATCTTACCTTCTGAGTAAGAGTTTCGTCCCTTTTTTGCTCTGTCGCAGAGGGGGATGATTGCGTTAAAACCGGAGCCAATGGTTGTGTGCCTTCACCACTATGAAAACATAACAGCACGTAAACTTAGGAATACAAGGCAAACGTTTCGGAACTGCTTCCCAAACCATCAAAATACTAATCTAAAAACAAGTAATCATACCTTCTGAGCAATATTTTCGTCACTAACTGCATCTGTTGTACAGGGGAAGATTGACTCAACACCGCATGAGCAAAGGGTTGTGTGCCTTCACCACTCTGGAAATATCATAGCACGTACGTAGTTTAGAAAAACAAAATACTAGTTTCGGAAGACCTTCATAAAACATTAAAATACTAAACTAATACAATTTCGGAAGTGCTTTCCAAGTTTTTTGGAAACTTACCTTCTGAGTAAGAGTTTCGTCCCCCTTTTGCTCTGTTGCAGAGGGGGAAGATTGCGTTAAAACAGGAGCCAATGGCTGTGTGCCTTCACCACTCTGAAAAATATAACAGCACGTAAACTTAGGAATACAAGGCAAACGTTTCGGAACTGCTTCCCAAACCATCAAAATACTAGTCTAAAGACAAGGAATCATACCTTCTGAGCAATATTTTCGTCACTAACTGGATCTGTTGTACATGGAGGAGATTGACTCAGTAAAGCAGGAGCAAAAGGTTGTGTGCCTTCACCACTCTGGAAATACCATAGCATGTACGTAGTTTAGGAAAATAAAATATAGGTTTCAGAAGACCTTCATAAAACATTAAAATACTAAACTAATACAATTTCGGAAGTGCTTTCCAAGTTTTTTGAAAACTTACCTTCTGAGTAAGAGTTTCATCCCTATTTTGCTCTGTTGCAGAGGGGGAAGATTGCGTTAAAACAGGAGCCAATGACTGTGTGCCTTCACCACTCTGAAAAATATAACAGCACGTAAACTTAGGAATACAAGGCAAACATTTGGGAACTGCTACCCAAACCATCAAAATACTTGTTTAAAACAAGGAATCTTACCTTCTGAGCAATATTTTCGTCACTAACTGGATATGTTGTACAGGGGGAAGATTGATTCAGCACAGCAGGAGCAAAAGGTTGTGTGTCTCCACCACTCTGGAAATATTATAGCACGTACGTAGTTTAGGAAAACAAGATACTAAATTAACACAATTTTCTGGAAGAGCTTCCCAAGCGTTTTGGAATTTGACCTTCTAAGTAACATCTTTGTCACTGTTTGGCTCTGTGGTAGTAAGGGACTGTATTAGCTCAGTATCCCGTTTCTCTGAATTTGAATCTGCCAACTCTTTTTCACTCTGTCAAATGCATAACTTAGTCAGGTACATTTAATATATGTTTCGAGGAAAAACTTCCTTTGCTAATGATAATGCAAAAGAAATTCAAATCTTATTACCTCAGCATAAAAAAAAATCTCCTATGTTGGCACCTGTATTGGATCTCCCTCAGCGTCATCCATCTGTATATTGGGGATCTCTTGTGTTGGTGTCCCTTCAGGTATTGTTGGTTGACTATTTTCGGCTTGTGTTAGCGCCTGTTTTTTCTCTCCCTCAGATGCATGAGATTCAATCATCTCTATACTGAGAAGCTCATGTTTGGCACCTTCGGGAATCTCCTGTGTTTGTTGACTATCTTCAACTTGTGTATCATCCATGTTTTCGTCTTCAGTTGAGTCATCCTCTTCAGTTGAGTCTACATCGTCAGCTACAATCGTTGCTGAACTCCCCATGTGCACAGGTGTTCTCTGGTAACCACCTTCGGATTCCTGCAAATCAACTTGTTAAATCTCACATTCAAAGTCTGACATCTAGCTAAAAATCAAACATAACATTGACACAAATAGGGAAACTTACGGTAACTTCATCTTCCCAATCTATTCCCAGCTTCTCTTCTATCTTATGCAATCGATCAAAGATCTTAAGGTTACCTTCTTTAACCATTAGAATGAAATTGTCCAGCTTTGCCATAATCATTGAATGCGAAGAAGATGGTATCTCTGCCCTCATATTAAAAGCTGAACTTGAAGCTTCAAAAGTCTCGGCATTATGAACCATGACAGAGTTCAATCCAATGGACTCTAGCGCATCAACTAGATCAAGTTTTTTATTTACCCAATCTCCTAAGCTCAGGGAGTAGCCTCTTGTAAGAACTTCAGAAAGTTCTTCAAGGTCAGGATCATCTTCGTCTTCCATGCAGATTGTGTCCTCAGCATCACCTAATATAGCAAGCAATTTGAAGATCACCTTCATCTGTAGACACAAATGGGAAACATGTTAAAGATATCCAGAAATTTACTACGATTTTTAGGAAGGCATCCTAAATCATTTTCGTTTCACCATGTATCATCTAGGAAGGCATCCTAAATCTATGTATCATCTAGGAAGGCATCCTAAATCATTTTCATTTCCCCATGTATCATCTTGGAAGGCATCCTAAATCTATGTATCATCTAGGAAGGCATCCTAAATTATTTTCGTTTCCCCATGTATCATCTAGGAAGGCATCCTAAATATATGTATCATCTAGGAAGGCATCCTAAATCTATGTATCATCTAGGAAGGCATCCTAAAATCATTTTCATTTCCCCATGTATTATTTAGGAAGGCATCCTAAATAATTTTCGTTTCCCCATGTATCATTTAGAAAGGCTTCCTAAATTTATGTATCATTTAGGAAGGCATCCTAAATCAGTTTTCTTTCCCCATGTATCATTTAGGAAGGCATCCTAAATCTATGTATCATTTAGGAAGGCATCCTAAATCTATGTATCATCTAGGAAGGCATCCTAAATCATGTTAACACAAGCAAATCACGAAGGCATCCTAAATCATGTTAACATAAGAGACGAAATGCTTACATCAGGTGATCCTTCTATGGTGAGAACTTGGTTTATTGAAGGAGATGTTGTGTAAAGGTACTTCTCACATAAGAAGGCAGAGGACAAAATACTGTTGATGACTGTTGAGAAGGCAGTCTGTAGCATAGGGACGGACTCTAGCAACCACAAGTGGAAGGCAAAAGGGTAACCCTGAAGAATATACTTCGCTTTATCCAAATGCGAAGGCACCCTGATTTGATTGATGACAAGAGCAACTCATACGCTTCCCTCCCCCAATGATAGTTCATCAGAGTGTTCATGTCTCGCGCTCTCTCTATGAAACTTCTCGGAAACTTGTACTCCTTGTATCTCCCAAAGAGCAGAGACTCTATCAGCACCAACATCCCTAAGGAAAACTTCTCATCAAAAGCATCTTTTTCAGCTCTGAGCATCTTATTGATCAGGTTTTCAGTTGAGTGAGACTCTGTCTTCAAATCATCCCAATCATAGACACTTGCTTCTGGAGCAGCTTGAGGAGTCCAAATGGAACACTTCAATCCAGTGACCATATGAAACTCTCTTATTGAGAATCTCAAAGGATGCGATCCAAAGAGGAACCAGAGCTCATTGTTCTTCTTCGTTATTAAACTCCTTGTCAGGAAAACATGGATCATTTTCCCTGACATTAGCATCTTCTTTGAGCTCAATTTCAGGAGAGGCCCTAAAAAAGAATTCCTGATCCTGTTAAACTGCACATCCCCCAGTATTTCTTCGACTTACTCAATGAATGATATTTTCGAGTGTTGGTCTATGGCCTTAAAATTCTTCCTAGGCTCATTCCCAAATTCGTAATGCAACTTCAGGAGTGCTATCAGCGTAGAAGGCTGTGAATCCTCCATGTTGTTCCTAACACACCACAGACAACAAGTAAAGAACAATTTTCGTCATCAAATTCAAGACTTCGGACACAAACATTGCAGAATCTCTCAAATCTATGTTGTTTGCCAAATAGGTATCGATTTCAGGATGACCTTCCTAAGCTATTAATTAAGCATCCCAGATTTTTTGGAATTTTGTTTTCTCCTAGGATGTAATCGAAATAATCAAAACAGCGAGTTGGAAATTTGTATCCCAGTTCGAGAAGCAGATTAAATTGAAACATCAAAACTGTGATGAATTTAAAATTAGCATACACAATGACCCAAAAAACTTTGACACATGTGGGTTTGGGAAGAAAGTCGGCGCGAAGAGAGAAACTGTTGGGGTTTTCCGTTTATCGTCGCGAAGAGAGAACCAGTTTTGGGTTAATCATCGAAAAAGGTTTAAAATTTGTGTGAATCTTTGCGAAGAGAGTCGTCGCTGTTCTCCACGGGTTTAAGAGAACTGTGTGGGGTTTTTCTGTTAATCGCTGAGACAGAGAAAGTTCCTGTTTTTTGCGCGAGGAAGGGTTCTTAAATGTAAACACTTCGCTTGACGCGTGTATAAATAAATAAGATCTTATGGATTGACAAATATCCTTCACGTACTTAGCGGTTAAATCATCAATTGTCAATTAACGAGGTCAACGGTTCGATTCCTCGTAACGTAACCTAATTTTTGACTTCATTTTTTGTTTTTGTTTTTATGATTTCTTTCCGACAACAGCCTAACCGATTCCTAAATCATTTTGTTAAACTAACTTGTTTCTTCATCCAACGTCCATAGATAATAAAACAGTAGTCGTTTTACTAAACAGATAATGTCATAAGTTTTAGTTTTAGATCCGGGGAAACATAAAACATCAACCATTTTCAAAATGCAAACTAAAACTACTAACAATAGTCTCCTAGTTCCTACTTTTTGTTCACAAACTGCTCAAAGATGTCGCATACATATTTGGTCTTCATGTCTGCAACAGTCATATGACCCACCTTTGAGAAGTCATGGTCCCCCAATGATTGACACTCGATCATCATGACGACATACACGGGACAATCAGTCACCCGAAAACCAATTGTGGACAGGGAAAACTCTTCTTCAGTGTGATGGACGACTTTGAATGGTTCCAGATGTCTCTTTGGATTTTTGTTCTCAGCAATGCCGAGGAGGGTAGGTATCATATCTGCAACAATTATGAATAAGTTTTCAATAACAGGAATCATGTGTTAAGGACACCCCCGTCCAACTCTGACTAATGTTTGCCGAATCATCTCATATATAGTTAAAAAGGAAAAGTGTACCTGCTATCCTCTTAACAATATTCAAGACTACTACATTCTTCTCCCATTGAATATTGCACGAGAAACTCTCCACTTGGCAGCTCTTAAAATTAATTTCCAAACCAATCCAGTGGGGAACCATGGATTTAATGACTCCATAGACGACATCTACATCTTTCTTCCACTTCTTGTGTGGGAAAACTGTTCCCTTTACAATGTTTGTAACACTACCAGGGAATGGTAATTTGGTTCGATACCTCTTGAATTTATCGTTGCATTGTAACAGCTCATTAAAGAAGTCTGTTTTTCAGAATGCAGCTCTAGGGAATTTGTCGTTGTTGAAGTATGCGGCATGTTCCTCTCTTTTCTTTTGCAACATCATCAACACTGCATTTATTTCCTTGAAGAACATGGAGGCAGAGTAACCAAGAATGTTCTGCCGCCAATCCGAGAAAGAAAAACACAAGTATTCCATGGCTATAAGTTAAACTCATTTTGACTATTTTCTTCTTACTGTATCACGAAAACGAGCTCTGGGATTCTCCATACTCCAGAACAAGGTTGCAGTAGCATCCATATCACCAATTATGTGTTTTTATTAGATATCTTCAAGACATTTACGTAACGAAACAATTTTATAACAACAACTCGTTGTCTCTCCCTTCTCCAACCACTCTTTTTAGGCTGTCAACTGATCCGTTTTCGGTGATTGAAATGGATCGACTGTAGCTGTACATTGTTCGGCCACCTGTGTGCTCTTCCCTTTGAACTTTTCTGACTTTTCCCCACCCTTCTTCTTCTTCTTATTAACCGGAAGATCATCTTCATTATGAGGCCTCGTCTTTGTCTTTTTCTGCTTTGCATCATACAAAAATTTAACAATTGATGATAAATCGCTGGGAGCATTTAACAAAAGTTTAGGAAAACCTTCCTTATAGTAGTAAAGAATCCAGAAATCTTACAGTTTTTAGCTCATTTGTTTGGGTCTCATTTTCATTCATCTTCAAAAGATCATATAGCAATTTTTTAGGCATGAAATGTTTTTTTACCAAGCGCAAAAGAAAATGTTTACTTTTTCTTACTCCATCGTTTCCATCATCTTTTTCTGATACGGTGTAAGCACTTATGACACTTCGGATTATCGGGAAAAAATAGTTTTATACATATGTAAGAAGAAAACAGGAAGCATAGTTAGACCATATAACTGAAAAACAAAAACTGTAAAACTATACCTCGTCTGGAGAATCCTCCTTACGTTCCTTCAACAAAAACCAAAAACATCTAGTTAGTTGTATTTGGAAATTATATTTCTACAATAATAGGAATGACACAAAATGATATTTAATACCTCCTCATTTACGTTTGCCTGATCACGCATTTCCTATGAAATGTTTTCAACTCTAAGGGGCGAAGCAAACGTCTCTGCGTTTTCCTGCAGTGTAATTACAAATTAGGTAAAAAAAATTGGAATTGTTCTGGAGAATACAAGGTTTTGCCATAGTATGAATGATGTACATGTATATCCACATCCACATGAGGAGCCCACGCCTCGTCCACCCATTCTCTATGAATCCTTACGTTATTTATTTTGAACATAAGGTTTTTCTCGACATGATGAAGGTGGATAGAAACCTCTGGACCATCCAGAAGCGCTTGCACATACCCTCTGCAAGGCATCAACGTCTTACGTGAGTGTTAAAACGTCTGTGGAACGTTCTGCCTCAGGCAGAGGAGGCGGTGTAGGACGGATCCGCATCTCTTGGACATTCTCATACTTACCAAGGCTCAAGAACTTCAAATAATAGCGGCGGATAGGACCTAGACCTGGCTGTCTATTTATCAACGAAGCAGAAAACCACTTGTTATCTTCACCCGATACCTCGACTAAAGCACCTTCCGTCAAGTAAAGTTTATGACTCGTGCCTGTAACCCCTTTGCAGGAGCAGCTTTACCAGCAACAAGTCCGCAAACTATCTGGGAAACCAACATTTGTGTTAGGAACGCTTAACAACAGGTTAAGGAATACCTTCCTAAAATATGCTAAAGAAACTTGAAATCTAACATTTTGTTTCGTTCCCTCAATTTTATCCTTTTTTTTTGTCCGGTGCTTGTTACTGCTTCAGTGAAAGTAGCCACATGCGGGGTATGTACCTGGAACTCCAACATGTTGTGTTAGGAACATTCAGCATAGATTCAGGAACACATTCCAAAAACTTTTGAACTCAAGGAGAGAATCTAACAATTTGTTGCTCTAGTGGTATGGACGCCTTATTATTTCCCATATGTGTCTGGGGCACCCACTGTGATTTGAGTCTCTCTTGCTCCAGTGGTATGGACACCTTATCCTTTCCCATCTATGTCTGGGGCACCCGCTGTGATTTGCCACTCTCTTCTGCCACACTTTTGTTCATCTGCGGAACAACACACGATAACGTCAACACCACACATTTTTTCTTAAGTATAATTTTGGAAGAATTCCTAATTCATTGGAAGGCTTTCATAAAAGGCAATATGGATATATAATTTTCGTGTTCCTAGGTATAATCCAGTATCTCGTCTGGCTAATAAATCCATACCTGATTTAGCGAATCATTTCATCTCAAACCAGAGGCATCTAAACCTGCTGATACGTCCACATGAGTAAGCTCCTTCAACAGAAAACCAATAACATCGTGCTGTTAGAATATTTATTAAAAAAAAAGCTCTGATAAACATATATATATTTTTCAATACCTCATCAATGGAATCGGAAGGATCATAGATTCCCAGCTTTTGTTCAATCTTTGTTAATCCAGAACTGATATGTGTCTGTCCATCTACGAACATCTTGATGAGCCTTTTAATCTTTGCCTCTACTGATTCGTCTGAAGAAGAAGGTCTGGAGGTTTGTCTCGCTCTTTCTGAATGGGGATAGCGATATGACTGAGATGCAATGTATTGCAATGCATCGTCTCTCTTCAAAACCCCTCTTCTCCAGTATTCATGCGTCAGTTCGAAACCTTTGTCCAACAGATCCCCAAGTGAATGCAGATCTTCATCGTCCTTGTCTTGCAAAAACACAGTGTCTTCGAGGTCACCATGTATTTTTGGAAGAATGTGTACCACACTCACCTACACAGTCAAAAAAGACAATTCATTCATCGATGTTTTGTTAGGAAAGCCTTCCTAAACACCATCCTAGATAATCAGAGTAGTAAAGGAAGGCACTTATATCGCTTTCGCCTTCTATGCTCAGAACAGATTTGATGGGAGGAGATATTGTGTGAAGGTATTTCACACACAAAAAAGCTGTGAGCGGGACTGTGTTGTCAATCGTAGGGAAAGCCGACTGAAGCTTGGGTACAGATTCCAAGATCCATAGGTGAAGCGCAACAGGGAACCCGTCCCGGGGGGTACTTGGCCTTTTCTAGACTGTTCTGCACAGTCTTCTTCACTGATTTTAACAGCAATTCGTAGGCATCCATCCCCCAATGATGATTTAGCAATACATCCATCTGTTGTGCTTTCTGTAAATTAGATGTTGGGAACCTTGCCTTCGAATACCTATGAAGAAAAATTATCTCGATGAGCAGCAACATAGCCAAAGAAAACCTCTCATCATGAGCATCTTCTCCCGCTTCAATCATGAGTTCTATTAGCTCGTCAGGTGAATGCCCATCCTCACATCCAGCCCAATCATAGTTGTTTTCGTCTTCTTCAACAGCAGGCAACCATTCTGTGCATTTCAGACCCATGACCATATGGAATTTTCTTCTAGAGAATCTCATAGGATGTCCACGAAAATGAAACCATAGTTCCTTGTCTGTCTTGGTTATCAGGCTCTTGGTCAGAATGGTGTGGATCATCTGCCCTGCCAAATAGGGCTTCCTTGAAAAGAACTGCAAAACCGGACCCAAGCAAGAATCCTCGATTCTCTTAAACTGTTCAGGCCCGAGTATCTCCTTCACCTTGGCGATGTACTTGAAGTCCGAGTACTTGTCTATGGCCTTGAACCCACTCATTGGTTCCTTCCCCATCTTGTATTTGAGTTTAGGAAGAGTTATGTCCATTTTCAACTGCTACAAGAAAAGAGATGAAGAATGTCACAATAGAAACGAAAAATATCACAATAGAAATGAAAACTGTCACAATTTGAATCTTAGGATGACCCTTCATAAGTCGAAATTGAAGGTTCCCTCTACACAAATATATAAACAAACCCCACAATAGAAACTAAAGCCTATCCTAAATCACTCAAAATTGGTAAATCATGATCGAAAGAGATCGATTTTTGTGCGTCCTCGAGATGAGAGAAGTTTTTGGGGGCAGGAGTTTCTTACTGAATCTTAGTTGTCGCCTTCTCTATCGCTGATGTCTTCTTCGCCGATGCACCGCTGCTGAAAATCCGGGTTTTCACTGTAAATCGCCGTCGCCATTGTAAATTAGGTTTTTATCTGGAAATCGTCTTTGATGTCGCTGATGAGGAAGGGTTCCTAAAAGTAAATAATTGTTATAAACATGTTAAAACATAAATATATAACTTAGAAATGTTGGACAACTACAACGATTCAGCCTCAGCGGATAGTGCTTATTCGAATAAACAGACGTGTCTCCAGTTCGATAGAATCTTAGAGTCTAATTTTACCTTTCTTGTTTTTTGCTTTACTGTTTAGGAAACCTTTCCGAAAATTTTGCAATTGATTCCTAAAGATCGAGGGAAGAAGGGACCCAACATTATTCTTGGAATTTAGGATCACAGTCCAAAACTTTTAAAATTACCAAAACAGTTTTTGAATATTCATTTAGGAAGCCTTCCAGAATCATTTTCTCTTTCCAAGCTCCAATAAGGAGGACTTCCAGAATCATTTTCTTTTTCCCAAGTTTCATTTAGGAAGCCTTCCTAAATCATTTTTTATTTCCTAAGTTCATTTAGGAAGGCTTCCTCAACCTTTTTCTTTTTTGAATATTCATTTAGGAAGGCTTCCTAAACCTTTTTCTTTTTCTCTAGTAACCATTAAATTACTTTGTCATGAAAATCAATTTGAAATAAATGAAATACAAGGTCCGAAATAAGTACAACATATTGCTAAACCAAAAGCAACAGTGTTTAAAAACCAAAGGTACATACCATGTATTCAAAGCCATGTTTGCAAACGAACACATCTAAAAACATCGTTACAACCATTAACCATTTTAACAAATGGCAACTAACACCACCAACAGAATTCATTCTATTTTTTGTTCAGAATATGCATATCACATATTCGTTTGTTTGAACCGTTTTCTCCTTCTTAGAAATGTTTTCTCTAGCTCTTCATTCTGCTCTTTCTTCGCTTTCTTTTTTTTCGCTTTCTCCTTCTTCCCTCTCTCCTCCTTGGATTTCGCCTTCTCCACTTTCTCCTTCTCCGGTTTACCCTTTGGTAAGAAGACAGGCTTTCGTAAAAACGGGGCATGTGAAAGTTTTTAACTAGTTATATACAAAAAAAACTTGGTGAAAAATAGTTTTAGGAAAGGAATTTTACCTTCGCAATGTTTTCTATTGTGGTGGGCGAAGCAGACGTCACTGCGTTTTCCTGCAACATTCAAACAACTTAGTTAAACTTTTTGTATTATTTTAAAGACTACAGGGTTCTATCACAGTAAAAACGATGTACCTGGATACCCACATTCACAGGAGGATCCCACGCTTCGTCCACCCATTGTCTAAAAATCCTCGTTTCCCTAACATCGACCAGTTATGTTTTGTCAATATCATAAAGGTGGATAGAAACCTATGTACCCTCGGTAAGCGCTTCCACACATCCTCTGCACCAGTGCTCATTGTGGTAAACCTCAACGAGTTGCCCAAGCTCTTAAACGTCAGCGGCATGTTCTTCCTGAAGCAGCGGAGGCGGTGTAGGACGGATCCACATCTCTTGGACATTGTCATACTTATCAATGCTCAAGTACCTCAAATAATAGCTGCGGATAGGACCTAGACCAGGCTGTCTATTTATAACCAAAGCAGGGAACCACCTGTTATCTTCACTCGATACTTCGACTAAAGAACCTTCTGTCAAGTAAGTTTTAGGACTCGTGCCCTTTACAGGAGCAGCGCTAGGAGCGACAAGTGCGGAAACCACCTGGACGTCCAACATTTTCTGTTAGGAACGTTTAATAGATGTTCAGGAAGACCATACTAAAATATCAAAATGCAAAAGAATCCTGATTTTCTTACTGTAGTTTCATCCTTTTTTTTTGCTCCCATCATCATTGTCCATTTCTGTTTGTCCCGCGCCTGCAACCGTCTCCGTGGATGTAACCATAGGCGGGGTTTGTACCTGGAAGCCCAACATTTTTTGGGTTAGGAAGGTTTGACAGATGTTTAGGAAGACCTTACTAAAATATCAAAACGCAAAAGAATCCTGATTTTCTTACTGTAGTTTCATCCTTTTCTTGGCTCCCATCATCATCGTCAACTTGTTTTTGTTCCGCGCCTGCAATCGTCTCCGTGGATGTAACCATAGGCGGGGTTTATACCTGGAAGCACAACATTTTTTTGGGTTAAGAAGGTTTGACAGATGTTCAGGAAGACCTTACTAAATTATCAAAACGGAAAAGAATCCTGATTTTCTTACTGTAGTTTCATCATTTTTTTGGCTCCCATCATCATTGTCCATCTCCGTGGGTTCAGTGCCTCCAACCGTCTCCGTGGATGTCGATATCACAGGCGGGGTTTGTACATGGAAGTCCATCATTTTTTGTTAGAAACTTTTAACACATGTTCAGGAAGACCTTACTAAAGTAATGAAATCCAAAAAAAACAAAAAAGCTAACAGTTTGTTGCTCCTCCATTGGTTGGGTCCTCTCATCCTTTTCCATCTGTGTTTGGGCTATCTCCTGTTCTTTGCTACTCTCAGTTGTCTCATCATTGTTCATCTGCAAAACAATAGATGACAGCATATTAATCCCGAAATGTTTTAACAAATGTAGATGGCAAAAAAATTGTTTGAGTACCTTATAAGTTTCTTTGGTTGTTTCAACCACACCACTTCCATTGACAGTCTTTGTTCTTGAAGGTCCTACCTCCATTGGGTCTATACCAGTTTCAGGGTGCACAGGAGTCGAGACGTCAGAATCTCTGACATCAGATATATCCTCCTTCAAGCAAAAACAGATAACAGCATGATGTTAGAAAATTTATCAATGAAAAATCTCTAATAAACATATATATATATATATATATATTGTATTTTTTTTTCAATCAATACCTCATCAATGGAATCTCAAGGATTATATATGCCAAGCTTTTGCTCGATCTTTGATAATCGAGAATGGACTCTGTCCATCTACGAATATCTTCATGAGCTGGTCAAGCTTGGACTCTACTGACTCGTCTGAAGAAGAAGGTCTGGAATTTTGTCTCGCTCTATCTGAATGGAGATAGCGATATGACTGCGATATTGCAATGCATCGTCTCTCTTCACAATCTTTCTTTTCCAGTGATCATGTGTCAGCCTGAAACCTTTCTCCAACAGATCCACAAGCGAATGCAGATCTTCATCGTCTTTGTCTTGCAAAAACACGGTGTCTTTGAGGTTACCATGTATTTTTGGAAGGATGTGCAGGCATCCACCTGCACAGTCAAAAAACACACACACGTCATTCAGCAATGTTTGTTAGGAAAGCCTTCCTAAACTAATGACACATATTCCGAACACTGCGAAACACCATCGTAGATAATCAAAGTAGTAAGAGGCACTTACATAGCTTTCGCCTTCTATGCTCAAAAAAACTTTGATTGAAGGAAATATTGTGTGAAGGTATTTCACACACAAAAAAGCTGCGTGCAGGACTGTGATCGTAGAGAAAGCCGACTGAAGCTTGGGTACGGAGTCCAAGATCCATAGGTGAAGCGCAACAGGGAACCCGTCCAGAGGGTACTTGGCCTTTTGTAGACTGTTCTCCACAGTCTTCTTCACTGATTTTAAAAGCATTTCGTAGGCATCTATCCCCCAATGATGATTCAGCAAGACATCCATGTGTTGCACTTTCTGTAAATTAGATGTGGGGAACATAGCCTTCGAACACCTATGCAGAAAAATTGTCTCGATGGGCAGCACCATAGCCAAAAAAAACCTCTCATCATGAGCATCTTCTCCGGCTTCCATCATGAGTTCTATTAGCTTGTCAGGTGAATGCCCATCCCCCAATCCAGCCCAATCATAGTTGTTTGTCTCTTCCTCAACATCAGGCAACCATTATGTGCATTTCAGCCCAGCGACCATATGGAATTCTTTTATAGAGAATCTCATAGGCTGTCCACCAGAATGAAACCAAAGCTCCTTGTCTTTCTTGGTTTCCAGGCTCTTAGTCAGAATGGTGTGGATCATCTTCCCTGACATAGAGAGATTCTTTGAACAGAACTGCAAAGAAGGACCCAAGAAAGAGTCCTCAATTCTCTTAAACTGCTCAGGCCTGAGTATCTCCTTCACTTTGGCGATGTACTTGGAGTCCGAGTACTTGTCTATGGCCTTGAATCCATTCCCAGGTTCCTTCCTCATCTCGTATTTGAGTTTAGGAAGAGTGATGTCCATTTTCAACTGCTACAAGAAAAGAGACGAAGAATGTCGATGATTGTAAGAAACACAAATCAAAAATCACACAATAACCAAATCTAACAACACATTTTTGAGAGTTGACAAATAACACTTAGAAGGTGCTCCTAAATCTCGATCATAAACCAAAAAAGAAGAGCCAAAAATAGAACTTTTTGGAAGGCGTTTCCTAAATCCAAATCCTAAAATTTCAAAGAAGAGCCATAAACCAACAGTATTATTTTTTGAAATTTGAATCTTATGACGAACCTTCATAAGTTGAAATTAAAGTTTATACTACACAAATCTATAAACCAACCCCTCGATAAGTTGAAATTGAAAATGAAACTAAAGCCTATCCTAAATCTCTCAAAAAAACCAGCGACGATTTTTACGAGTCTTCGAGATGATAGAAGTTTTGGGGGCAGGAGTTTCTTACTGAATCTTAGTTGTCACCTTCTTTGTCGCCTTTCTCTGTCACCGATGTCTTCTTCGCCGTTAACGGTAGTTCAGGAAAGAAATTAGATTTTAGGGTTTTGTCTTCAATTCGCTTAGAAACCGAATGGTCGGGAGCGAAATGGCGGAACTGAATCGTGTTGAGCAGTTTCTCAACTTTAAAACGATTTTCTCTTGTATTTATATGCATAAAGAGGAAGTTACTTACAGTTATCCAACCAAATAATTCAGCCATAGCGGTTAGAGCTTTCCTACGAAGTAGATGAGGTCATTGGTTCGATAACCACAGATTCCTTTTTGGTCTTATTTGTTTTTTATATATTTAGGAAGCACTTCCGAAACACTTGGAAATGATTCTTAAAACAGTTGTAAATTTTTCTTGACGATCTCTTTTTTCGATTTCAATTCATAAACATGTCAATTCACTCATAAACATTCTAATTCACTCATAAACATTTCAATTCGCTCATAAACATTTTCAATTGCCGCCATTTGCTTGTACGATTTCAATTCATAAACATTTCAGTCGTAGATTTTCCTCGACGATCTCATTCTCCGTCGTATCATATCCAAACACAATTGTGTTCGACAGCGAGAGGCCGCCGTTATCTCCTTCCGTTGAGCCTGAAGTCCTTCGCCGAGGTAAGTCTGCAATCCCAATCTATCTCTAATTCGTTGTAAATTAGAGGTAAGTCTTCGACGGCGGCGCCGTTGTCTTCTACGGCGGCACCATTGTCTTCTACGGCAGCTTCGTCATTAGAAGAGACTTTGTTTTCGACGGCGGCATTGTGATCGGAAGTGTTTAGATCTAGGGTTCTTTAATTTGTTAGAATTTTTTAGGTAAAAGTATAATCGAAAATTACTTACTAAAAATGTTAGGTAATAGAAAGTTCTTAAGGCACCGTTTAACTATATCCAAAAACCCAAAAACAGTGTATTTGTAAGAATTGCCCTATTAGTATTACCCTCTAATAATTTGGTTAAGTCGTGTCGAACCAATAGTATCGCAATATTGCAATATTGGTTAAAGGTAGAGATAAATTCTCATCCGATATATTTTTAATCATTTTAGTTGTAATAGGTAATATATATATACATATATATATATAGACGAGAAATTCTCCAACAGATTTTAAAATGAAAAAAAAAAAGGGTGGATACATGGACATGATGAGTTTACTGTTTACGTACACTTTTGTTTTTCAATTTGATTGAGATAATACGATAAATGCGCAATGTGAGGATAGGAGTTAAGGGAGAGTTCATCAAATGTTTGTCCACAAGAACATTCAAGCTTCTTACGAATTAACATATACAATGTAAAAGAGCATGCCCACATTTTTGCATGATTCATTTCCGAAATTTGCTAAAATTTTGTTCTAACAGGAATTGAAAACACGTTCACACACAAAATGGGTCTCTCTTTCTCTCTCTCTTGTTTCAGTTTATCAGATACTGTACTGGATTTGAATGAAGTTAATTTACTCACTTGTTCTCGAACCATGTAAAAGCCATTGTTTTTGAACTACTGTTTTCAAACATTGATTTTTTCAAATAATTTCAAATCAATAGCGATCCTCTTCGAAACTGTCAAATTTTGAATGATTCCAAATCATAAACGAAGTAATACAATTGTAATCTTTGAATAGTCTTTCTAATTTGCTATTTCTTTTGTTGTTAATCAAGATCTCATTTATATTTGCATTAAGATATTTAAGAAGTTAATTCTTGTCATTTTAAAAATTCTTCATAACATTAAGATGAATCAACACGAAGAAGATTAATATATGCCATGATTTGATAGAGGGTTAGAATATTTTGAAAGAAAAATAAATGTTGATTCTTATTTTATATATTTGTAATTTTGTTTATTATGAAAAATGTTTTTCGAAGTAATTTTGGATGTTGTATAGGAGTATTATATTTTAATAAGCTTTTCGAGTTATTTTCCGTAATAAGAAGTCTAGTTGACATGTGGCAGACCAACTAAAGATTTGTCAGCTCAGCTGACCGGATTCTAACACATGATAGGTCATAGGTTGGTTTGGTTAGTTTTGATTGAAAATTCTTTTTCTTTTGTGAACATTTTCTTTGTTTCAAAATTCTTGTCTCGACAATAACAGAAACGATACACAGTGGCGCGAGTAAAAATAGAAAACGTGACAGAGAAGGCAAGAACCATTTGGACAAGTCCGAGTAGAATAAAAGGTGTTTATGTTTCAGTTCTGATATTATTTGAAGAAAATTTTATTTAAAACAATGGTAGCTAGTGTTTCTATTTTCTGGTCCACCAGTTGTAGTTAGGTTAACAAAGTTTTTAGTCTATCACACAAGTTTTAGAATAATTTTTCTTTTTGTCAATATACGTTCGATTCATATGTACTGCCGATTTATTTTCCATTTGGAAAGAATCCATGTGTTTTATTTATTTATTATCACTTATGAGGTTTCATTTATAATGTTTATATATTAGCGCAATTCTTTTTCATTTTCTACCAAAGATCCAAAAAATAAGTCATTGTGTATTTCTAGTGTTTTGAAAATAAGAAAACTATTATAAAGTATTTGAAAAAACGGATATTAAAATACTGAATTTGCATAGTTTGGCCAAATAAATTACAATATTTTTTGAAGTTAAATTTAACCTAGATTCTGAAACTTTTCGAAACAATTAGGGTTCTAACTTCGCCGATTGCGAATTCAACTCTGATTTGTTCGGTTATCAGCTAAATCTCAAATTAAATATCTGCATCAGTTAGTATTGACTGCGATCTGTGGCGTTCTATGCAGCAGTTGAATTTAGGATCTTCTCTGCAGCCTCTCCAGCTATCTATAGATACTCGTCGGCGCAACGCAAGAGATAATCGACTTAGTCTAATTGTTCGCAGACTCAATCCATCACATCAAAATCCTCTGGATGAGAAACACTCTTCCAAAAGCTTGGAGGCTTCACGATCGTGTTCACGGCCAAATCAATGAAGATGGTACTATTCAATTCTATTTCCAAGAAGAACACCAACTCCTCTCAGTTATCGAAAGAGGTCCATTGTCTTTCAAATATTGGATGATTGTCATAGATCGTTGGACTCGAAGACTCTACCCGGATTATCTCCAATCAATATCTTTCTCGGTCCAGATCTTTGGTATTCCAAATGAATACCACAACAGGCGTGTTGTAGAAGACATTTGCCGTCATATGGGACAAATTGAAGGAGTGCGTATTGTGGAACCTACACGAGATAACCCTTCTGAAGTCTGGTACGCATTAAGTTCAATATACATCAGCACCTTATCTTTACAAGATATATCCAGTTTGAGGAATGTGACGATCCTGTACAAATCCGATTTTTCTACGAACGACTGAAAAAATTCTGCAGAAGATGTGGGATGCTAACTCATGATGAATCTCAATGCCCTCCTACCCCTCCACCAAATCAACAGGCACTTCTAGCCCCAATCCTACAAGAAGATCCAATACCAGTTGATGAGCAGTTGAATGAAGAGAATATTCCTAGCCAAAATTTGGAGCAGCTAAATAATGAACATGACTTTCATACTACCTCTGACCTTGCAGTCTTAGAAGCTGAAGATGAAGAACGAAGAAAAGATGATATCTATCCAGACGACTACTTCACATACATTACCCCGCCACTCCTCTACCAGAGCAGTAAATACGCTCATCATTTGGATCTTACTCAGTCAAACATTATTGTTGAAGCAGGCTCTTATTCTCATCAAGTTAAAGGATCAAAGCGTAAAATAGAGGATCTCGCCCCTGACCGTCAACGAAAATCTGAAAACACTGAAGTTATAGGCTTGGTGGTTGCCTCAAAATCACCAGAAGATCCATGAGAATTTTGCACTAGAATTGTCAGGGGCTAAAGAGGAACGCTCTGACAATTCCACACTTTAAAGATATCAGGAAGTCTTCTAAACCTGATATCATGTTCCTCACTGAAACTAAGAACGGCTGTAACTATGTTTATAGTTTAAGTAAAGACCTCGGATATCCCCACAGTTTTGTTATTCCATCAGACCGATTAAGTGGGGGTTTGGCTATATTTTGGAGTGATGCAGTGCAACTAAGCTTCCGAGCTCAGCCGAATTTGAACTATACGGATGTAAATATTTCTGAAGCAGGAAGTCATGTCTTATGCCTTACTTATATCTACGGCAATCCAGATACTACCAGCAGACACTCCTTATGGAATAAAATGATATCTGACGCTGCAGCTGGCTTCTACAGTAGTAGACCATGGTTGGTCCTTGGTGATTTTCATGACATTAAAATATAATACAGAAAAACTTGGAGGCCCCAAGAGATTAGAGAGTACTTTTAGTACATTTAGGCGAATGCTCAACTCTACAAGCCTGCATGATCTTAGAACTCTTGGAGGTAAGTATACATGGATAGGCCAGAGATACAAACACAAAGTTAAATCTAAGATAGATCGAGCATTAGCTTCTGCAGATTGGTTAGATGCATTTCCTAGAGCATATGTTCAACTCCTTGACTGGATAGGATCTGACCATCGGCTGCTTTTAGTTCATACGGGAGAAAATAAGTGGAAAGGGCACAAATTATTCAGATATGACAACCGGTGGAGGTTTAATAAGGAGAACAGAGACAAACTTCGGAGTATGTGGCTTTTCTTCCTAGATCAAAGTTTAATGAAGACTTGAAGAAGTGTCGATCCTGCCTCTCCTCTAAGAGAATCAATGAGCTAAAGCTTCTTATTCATCAAGCGTATGATTATCCTTCTCCTGACTGCAATTATATTTGTTCGCTTAAATCTAAATTAGCTAATGAATACAGAATGGAGGAAGAATACTGGAGAACAAAAAATTGAAATCATTGGCTAAGATCGGGGGATAAAAACACAAGGTATTTCCATGCTAAAACTAAGCAGAGACAAAGCTTTAATAGAATCACCTCCATTGTGGATGATAATGGCCAAATCTGGACATCTGACAAATATATTCACTGTCTGATTACAGATTATTTTAACTCAATGTTTATGTCAAACCCTTGCAGCAATCTTGAAGACATATTCCAACACGTTGAGAGAAGAGTCACTCAAGAAATGAATGATGCCTTAACGAAGCTGATCACAGAAGCAGAACTACATCAAGCTCTCTTGCAGAAGAATAGAGATAAATCACCAGAGCCAGATGGGCTCAACCCAGGATTTTACAAGGACCACTGGTCTACAATCTGATCAGGTGTGGTTAAATTCGCTCAAGCCTTCTTTGACAATAATGAATTAGATCCAGCTATAAACCACACCCACATCTGTCTAATTCCAAAGATAGAAAATCCTCAAGGTCTAAAGGATTATAGACCTATTAGTTTATGTAACATAGCCTACAAAATTCTATCAAAAGTTCTAGCAAATAGGCTTAAACCCTGGATCCACAATATAATATCTGAAAATCAATCTGCTTTCATTCCCGGTAGGCTAATTACAGACAACGTCCTTATCTCTCACGAACTAATGCACTCTTTGCATACAAGAAGAAGATCTCAACCTTATATAGCTTTTAAATTAGATATAAGCAAGGTGTTTGATAAGGTAGAATGGAACTATTTAGAGGTCATTCTAAGGAAGCTGGGTTTTGTTGGAATTTGTGAGGGTTTGTCTCACATAAGAAGAAACACAATCAACTTGTGATTGATTCTTCATTAACCAAACAAATGAACTCACTTCAACATAATAAAACATGCATTAGTATGATACACAATCCAAGTATTACAAGCAACATAACTAGAGAGTTTGTTGTCATAACCAAGGAAAGGTTCAGTAATCTAATGACTAACTAAGTAAAGGAAAGAAGCACTAGCATGAGACATGAATCCATATTTGAGTAACAACAACACTTAGAGTTTGTGTTCTCATTAAAGAAGGATTAGCTCACTAACTTAGTGTCTAACTGAACAAAAGAAAGAGTTTAGGTGGTTTGAAGTATAATTAGACAAGTAATGGTCTGCCATTAAGGCAGACCTAAACTGCATATAACTCACTCTCTACATTGCTATAATATAATTAAGCATAAGTAAAGGAGAGAGATGTATACAAATGTAACAAGAACTTGTCTCTTTATTATAAATTCTGTGTGTTTTACAATGAGAGAGGGCGCCCTTATATAGGCATTACACATAAATTCAACTTGTGCACAAAGACAAAGATTGAAAGTGACAGCACATAACAGCTCTTTTCTTAAGTCACACATGTGACTCTTGCTTCCCTCCACTTCTTTGAATTCAAATGGTTATGGAGGCAAGTGAGGAGCTTCTAGAACACTTGACAACTTCTCTTAGGCGTGTGCACACTTCTCCTTACAGTTTGGGCTTGATTGGAGGAGTTTATGTGGGCTTGTACGGACAGCCCACTAAGAGATTGTATGGACAGCCCAATAAGTTGGGCTTGCAACACACTTCATGACTCCTAAGCCTCCATTGCTTCATATACACATGGTTGATCACCTTCTTGATGTCTTTTACATGTGATGAGCTTCATTCTTGGCTAAGTCACGCTTTGACACTTCTCTTCTTCTTCTTATTTGATGTGGAGATGCTTGGCCTTCACTTCATGTGTGGCCTTCTCATCTCCTCACTCTAATACCCTCCCTCAAGCTTGGGCGTCGGGAGCCATTGGGACCAAAGGCCAAGCTTGCCCACGCAAAGGACTACCTCATTAAAAACCTCATCATGTAAAACCTCTTTGGGATAAAACCATGATGAGGACAAAAAGAGTATAGCCTCCACGGTGGATTAGAATAGCTATGACCTTGGTTTGAACCATTTTGAAAATTGGCTCCTTTCCAAGTCTTCTCACTTCTTAGCTCTTCATGACTTGACTTCTCTTTCATTTGAATCCTTTCTTTGCCATCTCCTTTGAGACTCTTCAGCATTTGAGGCTCTCATTAGTCTCTTTGAGGCTCTTATGGTCTTCTTTTCCCTTAAACAAGAGATAAAGAAGAAGAGATTAAGTATTGCCATAAGGAATATCAAATAACCAAATGAGGAATATCAAAGCCTAATAAGTATATCAAAGACTAAGATGCACAATTAGTAATTCATAGAGAGAAGTGAACATTTTAAGCAAGCAGTTCGAAATAATGTCAATCTGAATTATTCATTATCAAACAATTTCAAAAAGACATCCAATTAATATTCTCATACTAACTTATGCAATTCAGTCAAACAGAATTATGCATAAATTATGAAGAGTAATTTGACTGCTAAATGAATGAAGTAAGTCATGAAATTAGCACTAATTGAAATAGGAGATAGGGTTTAGAGAACAGCCTTTTAATAGAAGAAGAGTGGTCTTTGAATGGTCCTTTGAATGGACTGAATGAATTTGGTTTGATCTCCATCTATGGGAAAACATCTTGCTAGTGAGCTGATTCATCACTTTCCACCAGTCCAGCAGACATTCTAGGTGGCCATTGGTTCTAACTCCGAGCTGATTCATCACTTTCCACCAGTCCAGCAGACATTCTAGGTGGCCATTGGTTCTAACTCCGAGTTGATTCATCACTTTCCACCAGTCCAGCAGACATTCTAGGTGGCCATTGGTTCTAACTCCCCTAGTCAAGGATGCGCCAAACACCAAAACACTTGTCTTGCCTTCATGAGACAATCAAGCCAAAAGCACCAAACCCCATTATTACACTTAGAACCTGTAGAGTATAGACAGATTCAAAGCAAACAATAGTGAGAGATGAAGAGTATAAAGTAACCAGAGAATAAGAGTATAAGTAACTATAAGTATGAGAGAATATAAGAGTATGATAGAGTGTAAGTGGAAGTGTAGTGAGAGTATGGTGGAGAATGAGTATGGTGGAGAATGAGTATGATGGAGAATGAGTATGAGCGGAAGCAACATTCAGTCCATGGCCTTCAAGCTTCATGGCTGAGCAACAATGCTGGTGAGGCTTTTAAGTTCCCACCAGTCTTTCATCAAAGGGGGTGCAAGGACAAACTCTCTTCAAGAGATTTCCTACAACCTCAACAACAAACACATTAGAGTAATTCACATTCAAGTGATTTCTTAGTGCTAAAGAGTTGTGCTAATGGAACAAAATCATTTGTCCATCAGCAAAACAAAGCCATTCAAGGCCAAAACAATTTCAAAAATCTTTTCCAGAATTTTGAAACTTTCAAAAGGTTTTTTTTTTTCTTTTCTTTTTCAAAACCTTTTTTTTATTTCAAGGAAAAATTGCAAAACAATTTTAAAACAATTTTCCAAGAATTTTAAAACATTTATCATAGCTTATCAAAGCCAAAGGTTCATCAAAAACATTTTAAAATATTTTTTAAAAATACTTTTCGGAATTTTAAAAAATATTTTCCAAAATCTTCCCAAAGGGTTTATCAAAGGAAATAATTTCCAAAATAATTTTTTTTTTCAAATTCAAAACCAACTTTCATCCTCTCTCCCTCCCTTAAGCATAGGCATATACAGACATAAAGTCTTTTATCCAAGCTTATCAAGAAGAGATGGGTAGAGAGAAGAAAGAGTTTGAAAAATAAAACCAAAGGCAAAGCTTTTGTAAAACATTTTCAAGTGAAAGTTTCAATCTTTCTCCCTCCCTCAAGCTAGTATGAACAGATTCAATCTTTCATCTAAAGCTTCAAATAAGAAAAGAGGGGATAGAGAGGAGAATTTATGGATTGAAACAAAACCATTAAAGGTACTTGAAAACCAAACTTCATCCTATCACTCTCTCCTCATGCTTTGGACAAGAGACATCACAAGTCTGTCTACAAAGCTTAACAAGAATGTGAGAGAGAGGAATCCTTGGAATGAAGAAAGAAGAAAGAAGAAGTGAGTCCAGCCCAAGAGAATAGCCTTGCTCTGATACCATGTTGGAATTTGTGAGGGTTTGTCTCACATAAGAAGAAACACAATCAACTTGTGATTGATTCTTCATTAACCAAACAAATGAACTCACTTCAACATAATAAAACATGCATTAGTATGATACACAATCCAAGTATTACAAGCAACATAACTAGAGAGTTTGTTGTCATAACCAAGGAAAGGTTCAGTAATCTAATGACTAACTAAGTAAAGGAAAGAAGCACTAGCATGAGACATGAATCCATATTTGAGTAACAACAACACTTAGAGTTTGTGTTCTCATTAAAGAAGGATTAGCTCACTAACTTAGTGTCTAACTGAACAAAAGAAAGAGTTTAGGTGGTTTGAAGTATAATTAGACAAGTAATGGTCTGCCATTAAGGCAGACCTAAACTGCATATAACTCACTCTCTACATTGCTATAATATAATTAAGCATAAGTAAAGGAGAGAGATGTATACAAATGTAACAAGAACTTGTCTCTTTATTATAAATTCTGTGTGTTTTACAATGAGAGAGGGCGCCCTTATATAGGCATTACACATAAATTCAACTTGTGCACAAAGACAAAGATTGAAAGTGACAGCACATAACAGCTCTTTTCTTAAGTCACACATGTGACTCTTGCTTCCCTCCACTTCTTTGAATTCAAATGGTTATGGAGGCAAGTGAGGAGCTTCTAGAACACTTGACAACTTCTCTTAGGCGTGTGCACACTCCTCCTTACAGTTTGGGCTTGATTGGAGGGGTTTATGTGGGCTTGTACGGACAGCCCACTAAGAGATTGTATGGACAGCCCAATAAGTTGGGCTTGCAACACACTTCATGACTCCTAAGCCTCCATTGCTTCATATACACATGGTTGATCACCTTCTTGATGTCTTTTACATGTGATGAGCTTCATTCTTGGCTAAGTCACGCTTTGACACTTCTCTTCTTCTTCTTATTTGATGTGGAGATGCTTGGCCTTCACTTCATGTGTGGCCTTCTCATCTCCTCACTCTAATAGGTTTTACAGATAAATGGTGCAATTGGATCATGAAATGCATCTCAACGGTCTCATACTCGATCCTAGTCATTGGAATGCCAGTTGGAAACATCAAACCTCATCAAGGCATCCGCCAAGGTGATCCTCTGTCCCCTTATCTATACTTATTATGTACAGAAGGACTATCTGCTTTTATTCAGCACAACATCAACCAAGGAGTCATTCATGGTTTTAAAGCCTCAAGGAGTGGACCTCCGAGTTCCCACTTATTGTTTGCAAATGACTCTTTGTTATTGTGTAAAGCTGATGAACGTGAATGCCTTGCAATCCTCAATATTTTAAAAACTTATGGAAAAATTTCAGGCCAATCTATAAACTTCCAAAAATCTTCTCTCGCGTTTAGCAAAGGCCTTTCCCCAAATATTAGGAAATCTTGCAGTAACTTATTGGAGATTAAAAGAAAACTGGAGGATTTGGAAAATATCTGGGACTTCCAGAATTCATAAGTAGAAATAAGACAGAAACATTTTCCTTCCTTCAACAAAGAGTATCTCAGAAACTTGAAAGCTGGTATTATCATTTCCTTTCCCTTGCATGTAAGGAAGTTCTGATTAAAGCAGTGGCAATGGCACTTCCCTCCTACAGCATGTCCTGGTTTATGCTTCCCAAGAAGATCACTAATCAACTTACAAGTTCGATTAGAATTTTTTGGTGGTCAAGTTGCAAAGAAATAAATAAGATTCTTTGGGTCGCTTGGAGCAAGCTCAATGATCCCAAAAACGCTTGAGGGTTGGGCTTTAGATATCTAAGGGACTTCAACATTGCTATGGTAGCTAAACAGAGCTGGAGACTGCTACAACAACCCAACTCTCTGTTTTGTAAGGTCTTCAAATCTAAATACTTCCCTAACGTATCCCTGTTAGAGGCCATTGCGAAGCGTAACTCAAGCCATGCATGGCGGAGCATAGTGCAAGGTAATAAGCTTATCTCTCATGGCTTGAAATGGATAGTATGAGATGGAAAACAAATAAATGTTTGGAAAGATAAATGGCTTCCGTCTAGCCCTCCTCGCCCTGATGTAGGCATTGGGTCTTCTACTTATCCTAATATGAAAGTTATAGATTTAATTTCTCCTAAATCTCAGTCATGGAACTTCAATCTCTGGATCAAGTTATTTGTAAAGAGGATATAAATCTAATTAGGCAGATTAAACCTTCTGTCAAGGGATTAAAAGATTCAATCTCTTAGCTTTTTAGCAAGGAAGGTATTTACACGGTGAAGTAAGGCTACGCTGTGTTACATACGATCGCTCTCCGTTCTTCGCATCATGAATCTGAAGGCTTGCCTTCTTCCCAGCCTTCTCTAATCTATGAAAAAATTTGGAAACTTAAGATCCTCCCAAAATTAAGCACTTCTTGTGGAGATGTCTTCATAACTCTCTCCCTGTTGCAGAAAACCTGAAAAGACGGAAGATGATTTCCGACTCGACTTGCCAGTTATGCGGAGAAGAGTCAGAGACAATTAATCACCTCCCATTCCAATGTAGAGGGAGTAGAGAGGTCTGGGAGCTGGCACCTATTCCACATGATACAGGTAACACTCCATCATCTCAATTGCTACAAGTAAATATTGAATCTCTTCTTTCTTTGGAAAACCATTCAAATAAGGACGTATGTCTATTCCCTTTCATTGGATGGCACATTTGGAAAATGAAGAACAATATGATGTTCCAAAATAGAAGAGATCTAATTCCAATTCTAGTGAATAAGACGATACTTGATAAGAATATATGGAGTGCCTCTCTTAAGCTTGACAAAAATCAATTTGTCCCGCCACACCAACCGTCTTCGGTCAATATTTCTCTGAAATCTATTGCTTATAAAACCAATGGATTCTGCTGTTTTGTAGATGGCTCCTGGATATCTAATTCCCAATTGGCAGGAATAGGATGGGTCTTATTTAATCAATCTGGAATACCCATCCTATAGGGCAAATCAGTAATAGCGCCTACAAATTCTCCATTAGAAACTGAAGCTGAAGTTGTGCGGATGGCAGCCCTTCAACTAGGGAGGTTAAGATACTCAAATATCACTTTTTGTGGGGATTCAGTTAACCTCTTCAATATGATCAATGCCTCACTATCCTCTCCTCGGAAATCAACTTGGGAGCACTCAACACTCTCTATGTACATAAAGGACATCCGCAAGATGGCGGTTGGAAAGAGTGGATTTAAAATTAGGAGAGTTCCTAGAAATGTGATTGCTATAGCTGATAGACTAGCAAAAAAGGCTCGTTATGAAAATTCTAGCCATGTTATAAACTGGTTGTAAGGTTGTAATCTGGATGTAATATTTGCTGTGTACTCTTGTTTCTCGTTTTAATGGCAATTTGTTGACAAAAAAAAATTACAATGTTTTTAATGAGCCAAAAAACATACCAACTAATATTGACTTTGCTAACTTAAGTACTAATTTAGTCAATCATAACATCTGTTTAATAAGCGTTAAAGGCCGTTTACTGTATTCATTAAGAGAAAACATGCCTCTCTCCATCTCTTCACTCGATCTATAAGACGAGAAGAAGAAAAATTGATTTCTTTTTATCTTTTCCTTTCTCCCTTTTTGTATCACCCAAACTCAACTTTGAATTGCTCCAACTTCAATGGATATGACAAAAAAGAAAAAGCTACCAACTCGTCGACCCAAAAACCGCGGTGCTGTTGAGGAAGACGAAATAGAACGTGAGCGTGAAGGTATTGCTGATGATGTTGAGGATAATGGGGATAATAGTATAGCTGTTGAAGAAGCTTGTGAAACTTTATCAACCCATTTTGGAGATATCGCAAGCAACAAAAAAGAGGAGAGCGGTGATAGTGGAGATGATGATATATGGAACGACAACACTATTCCTGATCCATTGTCATCAGACGATAAGGAAGAGGAACCTCGTAGGGAATCTCGTGAGGATGAAGTAGCTGCTGATGAACTTCTAGCATTAGGTAAGACTTTAGTTTTGCTTCCGAGTTCAAGCAAGCCCTTCTTAGGTACTCTATGAAAACTAGATATGATATTAAGCTATACATCTCCACACAAGAGAACCTTGGTGCGATTTGTTCTGATACAGAGTATTCCTGTCCGTGGAGAGTTTACTGCTCTTATGAAAAAAGCAAACACATGATGTAGATAAAGGTGTTTGAATGAGCAAACATGTGTCCGATCAGGATACTCGAAGATGCTGAAGAGTTCGTCCATTGCCCAATTGTTTGCAGAAAGGTTGAGAATAAATCCTAAGCTTACGGCAAGGGAGATGGAAGAGGAGGAACTATAATTTAACGGTTACTGAGGAGCAATGTCGAAAAGCAAAGACCAAATTAACAAGGGAAAGAAGAGCTAGCCATGAAGCACATTTTCTCGGATTTGGGATTATGAAGCCGAGATTCATGACATTAATCTAGACACCATTACAGAGATTCAGACCATTCCAGGACCAACACCAAGAAGCAAGCAAAGGTTTGATCGTATTTATATTTGCTTTGAAGCACAACGAGTGGCTTGGAAGTCTATATGTAGACCTATCATAGGACTAAATGGTGCCTTTCTTAAATGAGATATTAAAGATCAGTTGATAGCTGCAGTTAGAAGAGATGGAGATAATAAAATTGTTCCTATTGCATGGGCAGTAGTTCAGATAGAAAACAAATTTAATTGGACTTGGCTTGTGAATCGGGACTTAGGACTTGGTGAGGGCAGAAACATAACAATCATATCAGATAAGCAAAAGGTAAAATTCTACTCTAGTTTGTTAAGTGTTTACTTTAGTTTGATAAATGTTTAGTTAGGATGCATACTTATAGTATTGTATTTTTATTACAGGGTTGGTGAATGTTGTTCACAGTGATCTTCAAGAAGCTGAACATCGTATGTGTGCTTGACACATCTTAGGAAATTGGAAAAGAGACAGCCATGATCCAGAGCTAGAGCGGTTATTCTGGAAAATAGCATGCAGCTTCACCAAAGGAGACTACAAACTCAATATGGATGCGTGGTTGATATACAACAAATGTGCCTTTGATTCTCTACAACGCACCAATCCTATTACAGGGTCTCGAGCCTTCTTTAAGGTTGGATCCTACTGCAATGATAACTTGAATAATCTGAATGAATCTTTTACTAAAACCATTCGTGAGGCTAGGAGAAAACCTTTGCTTGAATTGTTAGAGGATATAAGAGGAAAATGTATGGTGTGTACAGCCTGAAGATCTATTATTGCAAATATGTTAAAATAAAGATTCACAAAGAGTGCACATCGTGAAATTGAATCGGCTATAGAGAAGTCTCGGGATTGTTAAAAGTTCATGTCCACTGATGATTTGCATAAGATAGACTATCATGGTTGTAGGTATAGTGTCAATATGGGTTTGAAAACATGTGGATGCGGGAAGTGGCAGTTGAATGGCATTCTATGTAATCATGTTGCTTGTGTTATCATAGCAAAAAAAAAAGAGATAGTCGATGATTATGTTTCAGATTATTTCACGACTCAAATGTGGCGGAAAACATATCAGCATAGTATTATACCCGTGGAAGGTATGAAGTTGTGGCCGACGTTGAATAGATTACATGTATTGCCACCCCCGATTAGATTAGGTAACTGTGGTAGGCTAAGTAATTATGCTAGGCGTAAAAGCGTTAATGAGCCTAAGCCTGTCTCTTCCTCTAAGAAGACTAAGTTAAACCATGAGAAATGCATTATGACATGCTCCAACTGTAAGGAAGAAGGACACAATAAGTTATCATGTCTAAAACCATTTGTTGAGCCTGAAGCTAAAAGGTGAAGGGGTTGGCCAAGAAAAGATCAGGTCATAGTCTTAGAGGTTCTACGATTTTCTTTACGTTTTAATTTTTCTTTGCCATGGTTGTTTAGTTACTTTATTTGGCATGTAGAAAGGACAATCATATGGAGAATCACAAGTATAATTCACAAGGAGGATATGATGGTTTGAAGAAGGATAAAATTATTTGTTGCTTTTGTTGTCTTATTCATATTTTAAACTAGCAAACTTTATTGCTTTTGTTGCTCTGTGTTAAACAATTTGTTGATTTTGTTGTTTTATAACTTTATATGGATATTCTTACTTGCACTCAATGTCGTGAAAGGAATAGAGAAAACAGAGGACTACTTCTCTGTTTTTTTTTTAAAAAAGAGCAAATGCAGAGAATATAAAAGAGACCTGCAATTTCCTGAAGAATCCAACATCCTTGCACTATTTTGTCTTCCTCTTCTTTATTCACTCTCATTTGTGTCGAATAAAAGCTTGTCCCAACTCGTCTTTACTTTTTATCGGATTTCTCAAAGAAGATAGATGGAGAAAAATAAAATCGTGATAGAGAGACTGGGGATTTTGGAACTGAAAATTGTGGATTTCTTATTATTTTTTTTTTTCGAAAGAAACGATATTGTTTTCTTTAAATATATTAGTTAACGGTGATATCGAACGTCTATTGAAAGGGATGTTAGGTTGACTAAACTGATACTTAAATTGGTAAAAGTCAACATTAATTGGTATATTTTTTGGTTTATTAAAAACATTGTAATTTATTTGGCAAAACTATGTAAGTTCAGTATTTTAATACCTATTTTTCCCAAAGTATTTAAGAAAATTTGTGAAGCAAAATCAGACCCCAGAAGAGCGAGACTACATTTTAATGAAGCAACTAAACAAAAAACCTTCATAATCGGAATAAAGATTAGTTGACAAACAATGTGAGTTTCTAACTTTTCTTCACGATCAAACCAGCAAGCTTTGCTCTCAAGAGAATCTGAAAATTTCTTCACTATATTAAGCGTGAACATGTTTGCATATAGACGAGTAAAGCCTTGAATTACGTTTGCTCCAAACCGAATAAACCGAGTTAAGTTTAATAACCGACTTAAGTCTAGCATTACAAAAGAAAAATCTAACCCAACTTACGATATCATCGAATATGGCATGCAGGAGGAGTGATATGTTGGAACTTATTTTTGACAAATAGAGCTGGCAAATTTTCTAACAATTGGCACTATAAGACACTATAGATTCTTTAGATTCCTTGTAATGAGCACTATAAGATATTATATATATTTGTCAAAAGCTAAGTTGATTTGAATGAGAAATTTTTGATCAAAGTGGATATGTAATTAAGATAAAAAAAATTAACAAATGTCAAGATGAGCATTTGTCCCACATGGAAAGTTGGAAGAATTTTCCACTAGTATATATAGTGATATACTCTCAACAAAGTTCAATGGCTTTGAGAAGAAGACACTATGGAAAAAGAGAGAAATGACTGTTATGCAAAATCATACACACGCGTGCGTGCGCTGTGCCCACACAAAAGATGTTTTTTTGGAGTAAATACTTATTAGCCTATTTTCATATGTTAATATTCCTTAAAGATATTTTGCATGATTCGATAAGTCTTTATGATTGAGTCGAAAACTAATGACAGAATATTTCTGTAATATTTTTGTCTCGCCCTTACACTTATCGAACAAGAAATAATTAATTTTGGAATATTTCCAATACATATATCCTTTTGCGATAAGGAAAAGAAGATTTTTGAAATATTTCTGTTTATAAAAGAGTGGCGGCCAAGGCACACACTTGCGTCCCAATCCTTCCTTCCGTTATACATACTTTCCTCTCTCATTCATTATTCTTCATCAGCAAAATACATAGCTTTCGAGAAACACAAACATCCAGCAAATCCCTCTTGTCTCTACAGTCTTAGGTAAGTCTCGAGAGTATAGCGTAGTTTCTAAGTTCGCACATTCTATAATTGGGTGCTGTGACTTTAGTCTCAACACGGTTGTATCCTGGGATTCTGAATCTCTTCAAATTGCCACACTGCGGAAAATTTAAAGAATTAAGGAAAGAGATCATATCCCAACTCCGTGTATCGCCTTTTTTTGAAGGTTTTATTAAAACGTTTTTACACTTCATAATCGTTTATCACTGATTTAAATCGTTCTTTGCTACGTGATTTTCAATCTGGATTTTTGTGGTCATATAATCTTAATTTTTTTAATATGTTTCCTGTTAATCGCTTGAATCAGATTGAATATTGCAATCAATTCTTCAAAAAGGATTTCATAAAAGGATTTTAAAAATGTTTTCTGATCGATCTACAACGCTTCTGCGATTGTCTTATAGCCAACCGTAGAACATTTGATCTTAAATGCAGATGATTACCGTAAAGACTAAAAAACAAATTCCACGTCAGCCCTAGGCACGATCACGAAACATTTTGTCTATAAACAATCTTATAGATATGATATATAGCGTTTAAGA